ATTTGCATACGCAAGACGTACGCAGCGCTACGTACGTTTTGGAGGTTATACAGAGGGTATAAGGAGGTTATATCCGCGTTATACACCTTTGTAACCTCCATATAACCTTCTGTAACCTACAAATAAGTTATGCGCTTCTGTTTTCATATATTATGAACTTATTTGTAGGTTACAGGTATGTTACAGAAGGTTACATGGGGGTATAACGCGGATATAACTCGCTTATACCCCTTATATAACCTGCAAAACGTACGCAAGGCAAATTACGTCTTACGTACGCAAATATTTTCCCACATGTAGCCACCAAAACAAAACAATGACTTCTTTCTTTTGATATACAAAATATGCTTTATTTTAAATAAACACAAACAAAATTACAAAAAAAAAAAAATAAATAAAATAAAATAACCGAAAGACAAACCTATCTCTCAGTAGCACCTAAATGCGGGTAATGTATAATACGAGAAAATTTGGATACATAATATCAAATTATCCAATAACAATTATTCCAAACATAGAGCACAAATTTCATATAAAATAATATATAGTAAATAATTATGGACCCATTTATGTCATATAATTTTTAGTACGTACCAAGCAGGCAATTTGTAATTGTTATGTACTTAAAAAAAATGAGATACATAACGCGTGTACATGTAATATCTGTATTGTAAAGTCCAATTCACTACAACGCCCTCGAAGATTTTTGAAAAAATTTACGTACATAAGATGTACACAACGCTACTTACATAATGAATGTTATATTTACGTTATATCCGCATTATATTTGCATTATATCGCACGTAACCTCGATGTAACCTCTATATAACTTACTTGTAACCTCCCTGAACCTACAAATAAGTTCCATGCTTCTGTTTTCACATATCTGTAGGTTACATAAAAGTTACATCGAATTTACAATCTACAATTTTTTTTTTAGGCAAATCCCTTAATTGGAGATTTATAAATATGTCCTTGAACGGACTTTATTTACAATCTACTAGTATAATATAAATAGCAAACAAGCTTAGCATAAGTTATCAGTATGATCAAGTATAATTAATTTGCCCATTTTTCTGATTCATAAACAAATATCACATGATTATAATTGACAAAAATATTTATTTAATATGCACTATGAATTCATATGCACTATAATTGACATAATGAGGTACATAATGAGCGCAACTTTGGGATGTTAATTCAGTATATAAGCCCATAATATGTCATGATACTCTTATTTCAAATTATTATAGTATTGAATTTTCTTATATATTTTAGAAAATAACAAGTAATGTTAATCTTCGAAGATTATTTAGCTTAACTACGTCGCATATTTTTATGAGAATTTAGTGGTTGATATAATTTAGCACTTTTTTTTTTTCTTTTTTGAAAATAAATAACAAAAACAAACCCAAAGATCATATTTATTTATTCATTTTTTTTCTATTTTATTTTTAAAACATATAGGCTTTGTTTTCAAAACATCAAAAGGACAGAAATAGTATTGTTGGTGTTTTAAAAACATATTTTTCATAGCATTTTCTGTGCAAGGGCCCGCTGCTGGCCCCCAAAAGCACAGGGCAACAAACAACAACACGATTATGGTTGCAACTCATATGTTTCCCAACGGCTTTCAACATTTTGATTAATGAACTACAAGAATACATTTGATTGACATAAAATCTTTATTTAGCTAAGATCAACTTAAACTAGTCCATTTAAACTATCACCTCAGATTTACAAGAGCATGGAATGATGCAGCCCATAGATGCTGACAAGAATATTTTTCATCAAGTTGGGTTAACTACCTTTCATGGCTTAAGTAGATTAGTCATCATGATGACTCAAGATGACGGAACAATGAGATTTTGATCGGGTTCATCATCATTTCCTACACCATCTGCTTTAAATTCAAAATGATAAATTGATTAACCTAAAGCCAATATATGTTATTATTGTACAGTAAATATTCAGCGTTTAATGACTAAGATTAATCAAATATGCTCTCCTATTATCGAGAAGGATAATTAACTATAAGGACCTGCGCCAATGGAGAGCCTTGAATTCCAGATCCAAAAAATCCTCAAAAAATTAGAATGTAATCTCTAGGTAATGACTTATCTACAATTCAATCTCCCTTCAAAAAATTTAACCCACAATACCAAACATAATCTCTCAACAAGTTGAATCAAGGGTGCACATTTTTAGAGCCCGCACGAACATGCATCGATGGACAAATCAACCTCACAATTAACATAAACAATCGTGTCTAAATAATTAAATATTTTATTAATTTTTATTCTTTTTTCCAGAGTAAAAAAAGAAAAATCAACTAAGCAATACAAGCTTAAATTTTCTTTTTCAAAACGTAGAAATGATAATTATAATTTCTTTATCTTGAAAATAATAATTTGACTATAAAATAATTTTATTTCATTCTCCCAATCCTTTCAAAAAATATCATCCATAAAATAAGAAAATAAAAAAGACTGAATATATATCCAAATACTTTATAGGCTTGATTCATACTAGGCTAGCTCAGATCAAAGCTAATGTTAACTAGTTCAAGTTAAGTTGGCCCAATTCAAACAAAGTTGGCTTGTTTAAGTCGACTCGGAGAGTCTGCTTAGCTCAAATTATTCAATCGAGTCAAAACAATAGAGGTGGCCAACTTATTAGGACTATTGTGAACTCGCCAACATCATCATAAATGAACAAGATCATATATAACTAGACCATATATATATATATATATATTCAAAGGTCTGTCCAAATTATTCACCAACATTTACTCAAACAAGTCGGTGACTTCTTCAAGTCAAATAAGTAAACTTTAATCAAACAGAAGATTTCATCCAATAAACTAGTAACCTAATTTAACTAAGAGTTCGGTCAAGATAAATGATATATAACCTAATATTGTGGAATTTTGTGCTGGTTAGCTAGCCAAGACAACCAGCCATATGAGCCCCACAACTTCAATCTGTGGGAGCTATTAGAGGGTGTGTCCTATTTCACCTTTATTCTTTTCTTATTATGTTGCACGTCGTTCCTTCTTTAATTATTTTATATTGGATAAGTTGTAATAGTCTTAATTATGTTTGCTCTAGCCAACCCCCATATAATAAGGGGAAAGGTTGTAAATTGAACAATATGAAATAAGGGAATATAATTCTCCATTTTTCTTCATGGTATCAGAGCATCGGGCTCAATTTTGACTGGATTAGGCATCCTTCAACATTCGACCTTGACTGGATCGCTCATGTGCCTGCATCGATCAGCACTGCAAAAATGCTCATCTATCTATGTCGATCGTGTGTTCGAGTTTGTGTAGCTTGTGATTGGATAACCTGTTTGTTTGCGTTGATCAGCGTTGTCGAACGCTTCAACTAGATTGCTCATCGGCCTTGGCGACATCATAGTGCATCGATCAGCATTGCAAAAATGCTCATCTATCTACGTCGATCGTTTGTTCGAGTTTGTGTAGCTTGTGATTGGATCACTTGTTTGTTTGCGTTGATCAGCGTTGTCGAACGCTTCAACTAGATTGCTCATCGGCCTTAGCGACATCATAGGTGGGTTTGAATTTGCGTCGCTCGGGTTCAAATCCACGTGGTTTGTTGGTCTCGTCTGCTTAGTACAAAGTAGACAATTTTGTTGGCCTAAGTTGCGTAGGAAATCTCGTCAGCCTCATTTGTTGTCTTTATCTTGTCTGCCTTCGACTATATTGTTCGTCGGACTTGTGTCCTGCAGGTCCTCCTCTACTCTACCTACAGCCGGTGGAGCCTATCCAACTGACGTTTAGTTGCCACAATCCTTGCTCCAACCAGCTTGCAAGCTCTTCTTTGTTCCTTATCATAGTCATTGGACTCTTCCTACAGCAAACAACTACCAATTCCCTTATCCAACCTTAAATGTGCATAGAGGTTATGACCAAGTACGTAATAAGGACATCTAGTTCTACTCCGACGATTAGTTCTAAATCAGAGACCATGAATAATGTCCACATAGCCCCTGAACTCTCTTCATTTATCACATGTCATAAACACAATGGCAATAACTGCTTTCAATGGTCTCAATCTGTAGTTATGTATTTTTCTAGAAAAGGAAAAGTGGTACATCGCACAGGAGAGCAAACAATTCTTAAGCTCGCCGTTGCCCATGGAAAATTCAGGATCACATGGCCATGTCTTGGTTGATTAATTCTATGGTCACAAAAGTTGAAGAAAATTTCTTATTTTATAGGACAACAAAGGAGATTTAGGAAGCAACTTGTAAGACATATTCTAGCATCTAAAATGCTGCAGAATTATATAACATTGACACAAAACTGCATGAGCTCTGATAAGAAGAGGCAAGTGTTACTCAATACTACAACACACTATCAAAGTACTTGTTACAGTTAGATATGTATGAGAGTGCCCACAAGATGTATGATGTATAAAACAATATGGGAGTGCCCTTTGATAAGAGGATGATCAAGTTTTTATTGTGTCTAAATAAGAACTTAGATGAAATAAGAGGAAAAATCATGCAATGAAACCTCTCCCTACCACGAAAAAAAAAAAAGTTTTTGTTGAAGTTAGAATAGATGAAAGTAAGAAAAAGCTCATGATGACAGAAATTGTGAGTTCATCTAGCAATGAAAGCTCAGTTTTGTACACACAAAACTCTTATCATGATTCAAAGCAAAAAAAAAAAAAAAGTCCTTTGTGTGAAAATTATAAGAAATTGGGTCACACAAAGGACAAGTGCCAGAAACTGCAAGAAGAACTTGTAGATTGGAAACTCGAACAAGAGAGGAAAGACCTAGATAGCAAGGTTCATGTCTCTACCTAAGGCTGTTAACGAGTCGATTTCGAGTTGAGTTGGGTCAGCTCAAAAATGGGTTGAATTGATTGAGTTCAAATCGAAATTGGTCTTAACTACTTATGTTCAATTTTAAGCCAGCTTGGCTAGAATTGAATCTCGATCTCTCGATCCGGCTCAAAATTAAAACAAGCTAGCTCAAATTTGAGTTATTTGGATTCGTTCCGGCTCAAATCCGACTTGATCTGACTCAAAATTGAAACAAGATTACTCAAAATAAGTTATTTGGATCTATTTTAGATCCAAATTGACTCATAGCATGTTATATTTCATTTTATTTAGCATTACATATAATTTTTTATAAATAAAAAATAATGAGACAATCTCGAGCCAGTTCAGGTCGATCTATGTATTGTACAAAATTTGTTTGAAAAAAATTAGATCCAAAGTTTTAACTCATAGCTCGATTCGTTTAGTTTGATCCAATCATGATCCAAGCTAAAATTCGAATCAATCTTTGAGCGATTAACTATTTTTTAGCTAAATCCACAGCCTTACCGCTACCACTTCTGAAGGGTTGGCCGACTCTTAATCCTTTCACCCCTTCACTAAGGAAGGACTGAAGATGTTGAAGAAGCATCTTACTAACATAATTGAACATGCCAAGGTATTATATCCTCTTTTAATCTTGCTAACATCGAAAGATTTCAAACTTGGATAATAGATTCAGATGCTTCTGATCACATGGCTGTAGACATTTATGCTTTCAAAAACTACCAAGAGATCACCACCTCCATATTTGTTTTGACTTGCCGATGGATCTCACTCTAGGATTGTTGGGAAAGGAGAAGTGAATGTCTCAAAAAGTATTCACTTTTCTTATGTCTTCATGCTCTCCAACTAGATTACAGCTTATTTCAATTAGCAAACTTACTCGTCACTTGAATTATGTTACTAAATTTTGTTCTTAACTCTTGTGAATTTTAGGTGATGGATTCGGGGAATGTGATCCGCAGTGTGAAATTGTATCAAGGTCTATATTTGCTCAAGGAGAGTTATTTTCTTAACACATGTGTTTTCTCTATCATCCTCTTCTCATGTTCCTGAGTCCGTTGAAAGTCGGTTTTTATTATGACATTTGTGTATGAGTCATTTCAATTTTCATTGTATTGCAAAGTTATGCCCTCATATATTTATTAATAAAAATTCAAAATTTTATCAGTGTGACACATGTCAATAGGCTAAACATACGTGTCATGTAAATATTCTGTCTCAATATAAACCCTCACATCATTTCTCTAACATCCATAATGATATTTAGGGACCATCAATAAAGTCAGATGGTTTGTCTCCTTCATTGACGATCACGCTAGAACCAGTTGGATATTTTTTACAAATGAGAAATATGAAACAACACAAATCTTTCAGTTCATCCATTATACGATTGATACTCATTTCCAACGCAAAGGATGGATTCTCAAAGCTGATAATGTAAATGAATACTTCAACTCCATCCTTAGACCCTAACTTGCAAAGAATGGTACCATCCATGTGCGTTCCGGTGTAGACTTCATAAAAAAAAGATATGGCTGAGAGGAAGAATAAATATCTCCTTGTGGTATATAAGTATATAATGTTTTCTCATAATATCCCAAAAATTTTCTAGGGAGATGCAGGGTCATTGGATTCAACACGAGTCTTCTCATCCAATCTTCCTCTAAAAATATTTGGTTCTCTTCAGTTCACATTCCATACAAAACTTGACCCAAAATTCATCAAATATAACTTCATTGGTAATGCTTCTAACAAAGAAAGGTACAAGTGCTATTCACTCATTTTTAAAAAATATCATAACACCATAGATGCTACATTCTTTGAAAAACAATTCTATTACCCTAACTTTGAAATTTAGGGGGAGAGTCTGGGTGTATCAAATTTGGGATACTACTTTAGATATCCACATTGAACTAGAGTCACCACAACCTATTTTACTTCTCTCTAACCATCATGCCTCCCAAATTCTATCACTTGAGGATATCCAACCCGAGATTGATAGCAAGAAAATGCACAAGGAATTTTGTGTGTACACTAAGAGAAATAAATCCCTCAGAGCAGAATAAATATAAAATACAAGCACAGGACTGTTCACAACAAAACATGAATGCACATATCTCTGAAATTTCAAGAGAGGTGGAATACAGTAGAGAAGACTTAGAAAGTTGCACAAATTATCCTATCTAGGAGTATGTTGCTTATGGGAAGTTAACCTCACCCGCTTTTGTATCCAATCTTAATAGTGTTCAGACACTCAAATTTATTCATAAAGCCCTTTAAAGTTCAAAAATGAAAAAAGAAAGTTGAAGAAGAGATCCAAGCACTTGATCTAAATGCCACATGTTAGTTACAAAGCTTCTTCAAGATAAAAGACATGTCGGGTGCAAGTGGATGTTGAATGTCAAGTACAAAGTAGATGAGAGTATTGAGAGGTCCAAGGTTAGATTGGCGGTCAAAGTTTTCGCACAGCCTAACGGGATAGACTATCAAGAAACTTTTGCACTACTGGCCAAACTAAACACTATAAAAGTTCATTCCTAAGATTGGGAACTGCATCAACATGATATCAATAATATTTTTTTTATGGAGACCTTGAAAAAAAAGTGTATACGAAGATCCATAGAAAATTGCTCAAATAAACATTTGGTTTATAAAATAAGAAAGCCATTTTATGGCCTAAAACTATCTCCAATAGTTTGGTTTGGCAAGTTTGTTAAGACTATAAAATCTAATAGATACATCCACTACAAAGATGATCATACACTATTGATAAAACATACACAATGAGGTAAAAAAGAAAAAAACTTAGTGTCTATGTAAGGCCCCGTTTGGGGCAGCTTATAACTGCGGGCGGTGTTTTTAAAACGCTGTCGTCTGTTTATTTAGTACATTTGAGAAGCTTAATAAAAAATGTTGTTTTCATTTGTTTAATAGACACTGCCGAGGGATAGACCTCGTGGTTCGCATCTTGAAGATGTGTTCGATGGTTTTTCCTCCCGCGCCCTTCTGTCTGTCTCCTCCTTTGCTCGAAGCCTCTCTCCTCGCCTCTCGCCCTCACCTCTCCCTACAGTGTTTAGCCCAGCTCAATTTTTTGCACAGAGGGAACGAGAACACCTTCAGTTCAGTAAATTGCCCTTGTTTCGTTCATGGATGGAGCCTATGAATCAGGAAATGCTCAATCCATCGTCTTCCTCTGCTGGATTTTCAGGTTTTCGTATCTCTACTAGGATTCAAGAAGAAGAAGAGCTTGACAATATGTCGCATACGTTGTCTTTTCGTTTCTCTAGTTCATATCACTAGTAAGTATTTTGCTTTTAGTTTTGCTTACAATTGTTATTACTCCTACAACTTTTGTGATCTTTCATATTTCAAAGATGATTTTTTTTTTCGTTTTTGGATCTTTGAACTGAATTTTGTGTTTGGTTTTAGGTCAGAGATGAAGCAAGTTGAAAGCTTTAACTGAAAGTCTTGGTCTTTAGAGCTTGTTTGTTGGATTTGGTGTAGTTTCTATGCTTCTTTTGTAGTAGTTATCAGCTTTTTTTTCATTAAGTTTAGTCATCTTTCTTCAAATATAAAGATTTTTCACCCTTTTTCTGCTTTGTGGAGCTTTGGGGTGATTTATGTGAAGGTTTAGGAGGTGAAAAAAATTAAATGTTTGAATAGCAAGGCTAGATATTTAGCACCTAGATGTAGTTTTCATGATGGGCAGAATGGTCATTTAACCACATACAGCTGCAAATCAGTTGTTTTTAGATAGTTGCCCCAAGCAGCCAATCAGCTTATCAGGACAAACTGCTTATCAGGATAAGTTGAATAAGCCGCAGCTACCCCAAATTGACCCTAAAGTATATGAAATTAAGAATCTAGAATTTATGAGATACTTTCTGGGTATGGAAGTTGTCAAAGTCAGTTGTCAAAGTTTATGAAGGGAATTGTGATATCCCAAAGAAAGTACATTTTAGACATACTAAAAAAGACAAGAATATTGGGGTGTAGACCAACTGAAACTCCTATTGATTTCAATAAAATGTTACATTCAAGGAGAGAAAGGACACCAATGAAAAAAGACAAACGCCAAAGCTTAACGGAAAAGCTCATCTATCTGTCACTATGTATGCGAAAATATTATCAATTGGAGGAGCAAGAAAGCAGCAGTCTCTTAGAAATAGCATGCAGTCTGAGTATGAGACACTTGCTTTGAGAATTTGTAAAGGAATGTGAATTCAAATGTTACTAAATGATTTATGATGTTCCACGGTCAATCTCGTAAAGATGTTATGGATAGTCAAGCCATCATTAATATCAAGGTTGTGCAAACCAGGCTGGACATCGAACCGGAAAAAGTAACTGTTCAAGATTCACCGAATATTGAACTGAATATTGTAATAAATATTTAAATTATTTTAATATAATTTAAATAATGTAATAATGATATATTAATATCATTTTTATTGATTCAACAAATAATATTTTAATTTAAGACAACTTTTGAATATTTTAAACAATATTCTAAATAAAAATTTTAAGACAATATTTTATCTTTTTTTTAATATAAATATCTTATTTTAGGTCATCTAATCAAAATCAAATTGTTAAAAATGAATAATATTTGAACGGCCCAATTTTTTAAAAATTGGACCGATTCAACAGCTCTCCAATTCAACCCTAATTTTAACCGGTTCAATCTTAGTTCTATGCAGAAACGGTTCTGAGCTTGGACTTCCAAATCCTACTTGATAGATATATCAAAACAGAAAAAAATGAAAGCATTCAAGAAAATACAATAACAAAAATTTATTTTAACAAAAAACATTTGAAATTCATTTGGAAAGAGACCTTTCACATTCAAATCAAACACAAAGATTGATTAAAAGCTTACCGCAGCATCCAATCACTGTACTAAAAAACACCAACTCCCTGAAGTTCAGCCTGAGCTACCACAGCATTGATCGCATCAACAACGTCCATCTCCCCCCTGGCAACGGCTTCATCCATTGGGGTGCGTTCATAGCTATTAAGAATCCATAGACATCATTAAACAAACGGATAAAAAATTGGAAAAAGGAAAATCTGTCATCTTAAACGGTCATCTCAAAATTTCAAATAGAACGGTGAGGACTATAAACTTACCTATTTAGCAAACTTACATTTGCTCCAGCCAGAATCAAAGCCCTTACCACCTGACAATTAGTTGTTCCTTCAGAATAACTTTATATAGCTTTTATGATGTTCAAGCTGCAGAAAGAAAATAACATCACCTCTTTTTTTCCATTGAGACAAGCCCAATGCAGTGGAGTATTCTTCTCCGTGTTAGAAGTATTTACATCCTGGTTTGCAAGATAAACAGAGACGAAGTTAGAAAAGATCATTATTTGCGTGAGTGATCTTCAATATAGATTGCTTATCAAAATCACAGACAAAATCACACCATATTTAAAATAGATTTTGCATCCAAATCCTTGGAGCATATTGCTGAATCATCATCATCATTGTCATTAGTTTTATCCCAATTATTTAAGGTTAGCATAATCAATCCTAGTTTTTCATTCCTTTCTATGCGCATCAATATTTTCTTCTGAAATCATTTTAAACAGCTTCAATCCGTACAATCTTAGAGCTACAACTATTTCATAATCCCCTGACGCATATTTTATGTGTATTTTCTATCTATGGTTGCACGTCTAAAATACTAATTTTATTTTGAGGGATTTACGTATATAGCACTTCAAACATCAGTATTTACGTATCTCATGCCCAAAATTTTATATTTACTTATATAACACCTGAATTTCTTTTAATGCTTAAAAGCTAGTACTCTGTAAACGTACATTAACAGCCAATCTTAAGAAATCACTAGCATGACCACTCGCCAGCATGAAATCAGAACTCCACAACCTCCATGTTCCTCTTGCCTGCATGAAATAGAACTCGTTTCCTACTAAACGGTTACAGATTGTAAGCTTTGAACAGATACAGCTGACATTCTGTTAATAGTTGTATAGGCGAAGTAATTCGGTGTGTATATTTAAGATAAGCCTGCTAGGAAATGCTTTACTCTCAAATGTTATAACAATTTCTGAAGCTATATGATATTATTAATATTTTTAGTCTTAAATATTTCACTTATTAAATCTCCAGACAGGTAAATTCTAAATCAAATCAATGCCACGTTTTTCCTCCAGTAACTCTGGCTTTGTGAATTGACCGCAGAGAAATATCGTTTTTCTTTTCTTAATGTAAAGAATAAAAAATAAACAAAGTATAGGACTTCTTCCAGCAGCTTTTCGTGAATGAATAAACAAGTTTCCTCGGCCATTGTTACAGCATGGTCAGTTAAGTGAGCTCAGTCAGAAAATATACGTTGGGACTTATGGCAGAGTACGGAGAAGATGACAGGGAAATTTCGGGCTAATTTTGGAATATTGAGAAATTTCGGTGTTATATATATATATATATATATATATATATATA